TATAAAATTTATCCAAACTCTGTGTGGTTTTGGCCTACCGTCTGGGTAAAGCTTTGAACTGCAAAAATGTTGATTTATGTGAGGTATTTTTTACGAAATTTTGTCTTTAAAAACTCGGGAAGAGTCGGGTTTATTTTCTATGGCAGAATTTTTTTTTTAAGAATTTATTAAGTATGTAATTTTTAGCTTAAGGTTTAATCAGAGGTTGCGGTTTGTTTTTTCACATAACTTAAGTATCTTAATTTTGGTTGTAAAGAACTTGGATTATCTGAAAAGTTGATTGATACTGCTATATAATGGATCCAAACTCTGTGTGGTTTTGGCCTACCGTCTGGGTAAAGCTTAAAAATGCAAAAATGTTGATTTTTGTGGGGTATTTTGTACCAAATTTTTACTTTAAAAATTCGGGAAAGTCGGGTTTATTTTCTATGGCAGAACTTTTTTTTAAGCGATTATTAAGAAAGTAATTGTAAATCTAGTTGAAGGTTTTTTCAGAGGTTGCGGTTTATTTTTTTACATAACTTAAGTATCTAAGATCTGGTTGTAAAGAACTTTGATTGTCTAAAAATCTGATTGATGCAGATAAAAAGTGAATCCAAACACTTTGTTGTTTTGCCTTACCGTCTGGGAAATATACACCTTCGAAATGCAAAAATGTTGATTGTGTTGAGATTTTTTTTTTTCGAAACTTGGACTTTAAAAACTCGGGAAAAGTCGGGTTTATTTTCTATGGCAGAATTTGTTTTTAAAGAATTTATTAAGGATGTAATTTTTAGTTTAAGGTTTTTTCAGAGGTTGCGGTTTGTTTTTTCACATAACTTAAGTATCTTAGATCTGGTTGTAAAGAACTTTGATTATCTGAAAAGTTGATTGATGCTGCTATGAAGTGGATCCAAACTGTGTGTCGTTTTGGTCTACCGTCTTGGAAAGGCTTTGAAATGCAATAATGATGATTGTTGTGAGATTTTTAGTTTTTTTTTGTTCGAATTTTTTACTTTAAAAACTCGGGAAAAGTCAGGTTTATTTTTTATGGCAGAACTAGTTTTTTAAGAACTTATTAAGGATGTAATTTTTAGCTTAAGGTTTATTCAGAGGATGCGGTTTGTTTTTTCACATAACTTAAGTATCTTAATTTTGGTTGTAAAAAACTTCGATTATCTGAAAAGTTTATTGATACTGCTATAAAGTGGATCCAAACTCTGTGTGGTTTTGGCCTACCGTCTGGGCAAAGCTTTTAAATGCAAAAATGTTGATTTTTGTGAGGCATTTTGTACCAAATTTTGACTTTAAAAATTCGGGAAGAGTCGGGTTTATTTTCTATGGCAGAACTTTTCTCTTAAGAATTTTCAAAGTTTGTACTTTTTTGTTTAAGTTTTTTAAGAGGTGGCGGTTTGTTTTTTTACATAACTTAAGTATCTTAGATCTGGTTGTAAAGAACTTTGATTATCTGAAAAGTTGATTGATGCTGCCATGAAGCGGATCCAAACTGTGTGTGGTTTTGGCCTACCGTCTGGGTAAAGCTTTTAAATGCAAAAATGTTGATTTTTGTGAGGCATTTTGTACCAAATTTTGACTTTAAAAATTCGGGAAAAGTCGGGTTTATTTTCTATGGCAGAACTTTTCTCTTAAGAATTTTCAAAGTTTGTACTTTTTTGTTTAAGGTTTTTAAGAGGTGGCGGTTTTTTTTTCACATAACTTAAGTATCTTAGATCTGGTTTCAAAAAACTTTGAATATCTGAAAAGTTGATTGATACTGCTATAAAATGGATCCAAACTCTGTGTGGTTTTGGCCTACCGTCGGGGTAAAGCTTTGAAATGCAAAAGTGTTGATTTTTGTGAGGTATTTTGTACGAAGTTTTGAATATAAGAATTCGGGAAATGTCGGGTTTATTTTCTATGGCAGAACTTTTCTCTTAAGAATTTTCAAAGTTTGTACTTTTTTGTTTAAGGTTTTTAAGAGGTGGCGATTTTTTTTTCACATAACTTAAGTATCTTAGATCTGATTGCAAAAAACTTTGATTATCTGAAAAGTTGATTGATTCGGCTATAAAATGAATCCAAACTCTGTGTGGTTTTGGGCTACCGTCTGGGTAAACCTTTAAAATGCAAAAATGTTGATTTTTGTGAGGTATTCTGTACCAAATTTTGACTTTAAAAATTCGGGAAAAGTCGGGTTTATTTTCTATGGCAGAAGTTTTCTTTTAAGAATTTATTAAGAAAGTAATTTTTGATTAAGGTTTTTTCAGAGGTAGCAATTTGTTTTTTCACATAACTTAAGTATCTTATTTTGGCTGTAAAAAACTATGATTATCTGATAAGTGGATTGTTACTGCTATAAAATGGATCCAAACTCTGTGTGGTTTTGGCCTACCGTCTGGGTAAAGCCTTTAAATGCAAAAATTTTGATTTTTGTGAGGTATTTTGTACAAAATTTTGACTTTAAGAATTCGGGAAAAGTCGGTTTTATTTTCTATGGCAGAACTTTTTTTTTAAGAGATTATTAAGAAAGTAATTTTTAGTTTAAGGTTTTTAAGAGGTGGCGGTTTTTTTTTTCACATAACTTAAGTAGGTTAGGTTAGGTTAGGTTGAGCCGGCTATCGGGATTGTCAGAGACCCGACACACCTAGGCCGGTTTCGGCCTATTGTGATACCGCATGTTTTGTTCCCTTCTCCCTCGTGAGACCCTATTTCATCCATTATCCCATCCGGATGCCCTTATGAAGCCTGCGATCCGTCTGGGACTAATTGTAGACATGTCCGAAATGTCATTTAGAAAAGGAGCGCCCAAGTATTGGAGTCTCCTGCTACTGAGAGCCGGGCAGGAGCAGAACAGGTGTTCCACAGTCTCCTCCTCGTCCTCATCTCTACAGCTTCGACAGAAGTCGTTATATGGGGCGCCCAGCCTTTTTGCATGTGTGCCTATTAGCCGGTGTCCCGTAAGGGAGCGTATGACTGAGCTGCACCTACTCCTACTGAGTTTGCAGAGCTCATCGGTGCGCTTCCTATTAATGTTAGGCCATGTTTGTCGAGTTATGCGACATAGTGGCACAGTTTGCCATCTGTCATTTATTAGTTGTTTAAAATGTTCTTTTATTTTGAGCTTGCAGGTGGCCATTGGCATACGAATATCCTCCTTATCATTGAGAAGGCTGATGACGAACTGATAAGCCATCTCATGAAGAGATTTGCGACAGTTTGCCACGGTAGCCGAGCTTGTTGTTATCGCATTCAGTGATTTGATTGCAGCTTGGCTATCACTATAGATATTTATGTAAGTTGGCGCAGGGGTTAGTTCCTGAAGACAGCTCAAAGCTTCCTTGATCGCTATGACCTCTGCTTGGAAGACACTGCAGTGATCCGGGAGCCTGAAGGAGTAACTTATGTTCAGCTGTTCGGAGTAGATTCCTCCTCCGACCTTGTTGTCCAGCTTTGAGCCATCAGTAAAGATTCGAATGGCTCCCTTTGGACCAGGTGGTCCCTCAAGCCAGTTGTTTCTGTGAGAGATGATTGTTTCAAAGGGGGTATCTGTATACTCCCTCGGAACGCAGTAGTCCGTTTTTATGGGGACGATTTTGTTTCCAGAGTCTCTAAGACCGATTTGCTGCCATTTCTGCCTGCTCCTTACCTGCAAGGTCAAGGCTCTGCAGGCATAGTATAGCATTTAGCGCATCCGTTGGTGTTGTGCTCAGAGCTTCACTGATGCTTAGGGGTGCAGTAGGCTGCACCTTGCCTAGTTGTTTAGTGATGGTCCCCTTCGATAGGGCAGTCCACCACACTGCGACTCCGTAGAGCAGTATTGGTCTTACTATTGCTAGGTAGATCCATTGGACTATTCTTGGGTTCATGCCCCATTTTAGCCCAATGGCCTTCTTGCAAGTGTAGAGGGCTATAGTGGCCTTCTTCACTCTGTCTTTGATGCTCAGGTTCCAGCTGAGCTTTTTATCAATTACCAACCCTAGGAGAGAAGGAGAGAGAAGGAGAGCCTGCATCCGTTTAGTATTGGGGGGTTGAGGGACGGGATTTTGTATTTGGTTGTGAACAACACAAGTTCCGTTTTCGCGCGAGCTTCGCGGTCATTAATTCGCAGAGTTTTTGAGGGAATTTTCCCGAGAAGATAATGGCAACGTCGTCCGCGTATGCTACCACCTTACAGCAATCCCCTTCCAGGTCACACAGAATCTTATTGACTGCTATGTTCCATAGTAGGGGAGACAGGACACCGCCTTGCGGGGTGCCTCTGTTGACATACCTTGACTGAGTGGACGATCCCATTGATGATGTCACTGTCCTGCATGTGAGCAATTGATCTATGAGCATCGCCAATTGGCAATCCACTCCATGGTCAGTCAGGGCCTCTGTGATGGCTTCCGGTATGACATTGTTAAAAGATCCCTCAATGTCTAGGAAAGCGATTAAGGAGTATTCTTTGACGTGTAGAGATTTCTCTACCGCCGAGATTACTTCATGGAGTGCCGTTTCCGTGGATTTCCCTTTTCGGTAGGCATGTTGGGCGCCTTACAGCCACTGAGGATTAATGGTTGTGCTCAGCTGCAGCCCTACTAGTCTTTCAAAGGTTTTTAGAAGGAAGAACGATAGACTTATTGGTCTGAAGTCTTTTGGGGTTGTGTGTGAGGGTTTCCCTGCTTTAGGGATAAAGACTATTTTAGCCTTTAGCCAAGCGCGGGGATTTTTCCCACTGTCAGTATCTTCCTGAAGATGCTTTGCAGCCAATTGATGGCCATGTCCCCGGCTTTTTGTAGCTGAGCCGGAATGACTTGGTCCGGGCCAGGTGATTTGTAGGATTTAAAGCTGTTTACTGCCCAGCTAATATTCCGTTTTGTGAGGGTGTGCCCCATCGAGGTTTCCGGGCCTTCACTTGGGGTGTCTGCCGGCTAGATGGTCGTACACCCAGGAAAATGAGTATCGAGTAGAATGTGCAGGGAGTCCTCACTAGAGTTTGTCCACCTACCATCAGTTCACTTGAGATATCCCACCAAGGAGGATGTTTTTGACAGGATCTTGCGTAGCCTTGCGGCTTCTGACGTGTCCTCAATTTCGGAGCAAAATTTTTGCCAAGAGGCCCTTTTTGCTCTCCTTGTTTCTTTTTTGTATAGGGTTAGCTTACTTTTGTAATTTTCCCAGTGGGCTACCTCGCTGCTGCTTTTGGCTGTGTTAAAGAGAGTCCTGCAGTCTTTCCGGAGGGTATCTATATGTTTAGACCACCAGGGGGGTTTCATTTTCCCTCTTGGTTTGGTTGAGGGGCAAGCTGCCATGAAGGCCTTGTTGCAAGCTTCCGTGAAATTGTCCACAAGACGATTAAGATCGTCTTGTGTGTCCGGGCATTTTGGGGCTAGGGGGGAGTAATTTCTCGATTTTTGCACTATACGTATCCCAGTTGGCTTTTCTTGGGTTTATATAGCTAGTGGGTATGGTGCTTTCGAGCGATAGGATTGTCTCGATGTACCTGTGGTCGGAGAAGGAGTGGTCCTCTAGGACTCTCCAACTTTTCATTATGTCTGACAGTTTGTCAGACAATAGAGTGAGGTCAATAACCTCTTGACGGTTTTTTATGATAAAAGTGGGGTCATTACCCCGATTACCAATAATCAGGTTGGAGTTTAGGATGAAGCTGAAAAGTGACTCACCCCTTACATTTGTATCCGAGCTCCCCCATTGGGTGTGATGAGCGTTGGCATCGCAGCCTATTAGTAGGCTTGTATTCGACCTCTCGCTGTCGCTGGCAATCTTGCGAACGAGGTCACTGGGAGGATCGCTTTCTTCATGAGCCATGTAGGACGACACCAGGTTCAGGCGTGTCCTTTGTAGCTCTAGGCTAGCCGCCGTGTTGTCGCCATTGATAAAATTATGGAGCAGAAAGATATTTAATTGCTTTCTTGCTAATATGCAGGTTCTAATTTTACCTTCAGTTTGGGCTAGAATCAGCTTGTAGTCCTTCGTCGCTAATCCACAGACCCTGCCTCCTACCACCCAGGGCTCTTGGATTAGGACTATGTCCCCTCCGCTCGCGACTAAGCGGAGTATCAGGGCAGCGGATGCTGCTTTACAGTGGTGGAGATTTATCTGCAGAAGCCTCAGCCTGTTATATCGGCTTCCGAGTCGTCGAGGATCTCGTCCCGACACATCGCCTCAAAATCGAGCATCAGCTCCGTCTCCGAGGAGTAGCTCTCCGGGTGCCTCGATCTCCGAGACAACGTCCTGCTCAACTGGGTTGTTGACAGAACGCACCTCGGCCGCTGCATCCGACTTATAGACCTTCATGGTCACCGAGCTGAACCCGAAGTTAAGCTCTCCCCTTGCTGCCTCGATCGAGGCTAGCGATTCCTTGTTCAGGATAACCACCGCCTGATTTGTGGGGCCCTTTGATGCCTCCACTTTAACCGCCTTCCAATCTGAGGTTGGCAGTGTGGGGTTGCAATCTCTGCAACATCGTAAGGATCCGCTCGGGCTCCTTGAAGGTGGCCGGTACCCATATACGAGCCCATGGTCTACTGGGCACCTCGCTCCAGTCCACAGCGACGAGCTTCGCCCCGGCGTAGACCTCACCGATTTGCGCCACCGCAGCTTTGTATAGCTTTACGGAGCGCTCATCCTCGCAGGCTACCACTTTGATGCTCCCCTGGAACCATCCCATGTCTTTACAGACCGGGGGTGGGCCGGGATCCTTGTCGAGAAGCTCTACGCAGCGGTCGGCCAGTGCGGCTTCCACCCACATCCATTGGCTTCTGGGTATTTTCCCCTCCGCGCTGCCTTTGTCGAGAACGCCTATCAGCGTAACTTAACTTAAGTATCTTAGATCTGGTTTCAAAAAACTTTGAATATCTGAAAAGTTGATTGATACTGCTATAAAATGGATCCAAACTCTGTGTGGTTTTGGCCTACCGTCTGGGTACAGCTTTAAAATGCAAAAATGTTGATTTTTGTGAGGTATTTTGTACCAAATTTTGACTTTAAAAATTCGGGAAAAGTCGGGTTTATTTTCTATGGCAGAACTTTTCTCTTAAGAATTTTCAAAGTTTGTACTTTTTTGTTTAAGGTTTTTAAGAGGTGGCGGTTTGTTTTTTCACATAACTTAAGTATCTTAGATCTGGTTTCAAAAAACTTTGATTATCTGAAAAGTTGAATGATGCTGCCATAAAATGGATGCAAACTGTGTGTGGTTTTGGCCAACCGTCTCGGAAAATCTTTAAAATACAAAAATTTGGATTTTTGTGAGGTATTTTTTACGAAATTTTGACTTTAAAAATTCGGGAAATGTCGGGTTTATTTTCTATGGCAGAACTTGTTTTTTTAAGAACTTATTAAGGATGTAATTTTTAGTTTACGGTTTTTTCAGAGGTTGCGGTTTCTTTTTTCACATAACTTTTATTATCTGAAAAGTTGATTGATGCTGCTATGAAGTGGATCCAAACTGTGTGTGGTTTTGGCCTACCGTCTCTGAAAAGCTTTGAAATGCAAAAATGTTGATTGTTGTGAGATTTTTTTTTTTNTTTATTTTCTATGGCAGAACTTGTTTTTTAAGAACTAGCAATTTTGTAATTTTTAGTTTAAGGTTTTTTCAGAGGTTGCGGTTTGTTTTTTCACATAACTTAAGTATCTTAATTTTGGTTGTAAAAAACTTTGATTATCTGAAAAGTTGATTGATACTGCTATAAAATGGATCCAAACTCTGTGTGGTTTTGGCCTACCGTCTCGGAAAAGCTTTGAAATGCAAAAATGTTGATTGTTGTGAGATTTTTTTTTTCGAAATTTTGACTTTAAAAACTCGGGAAAAGTCGGGTTTATTTTCTATGGCAGAACTTGTTTTTTAAGAACTAGCAATTTTGTAATTTTTAGTTTAAGGTTTTTTCAGAGGTTGCGGTTTGTTTTTTCACATAACTTAAGTATCTTAATTTTGGTTGTAAAAAACTTTGATTATCTGAAAAGTTGATTGATACTGCTATAAAATGGATCCAAACTCTGTGTGGTTTTGGCCTACCGTCTGGGTAAAGCTTTGAAATGCAAAAATGTTGATTGTAGTGAGATTTTTTTTTTTTTCGAAATTTTTACTTTAAAAACTTGTTAGGAACTTATTAAGGATGTAATTTTAAGTTTAAGGTTTTTTCAGAGGTAGCGATTTGTTTTTTCACATAGCTTAAGTATCTTAGTTCTGGTTGCAAAAAACTTTGATTATCTGAAAAGTTGATTGATACTGTTATAAAATTGATCCAAACTCTGTGTGGTTTTGGCCTACCGTGAAATGCAAAAATGTTGATTGTTGTGAGATTTTTTTGTCCAAATTTGGTTTTTAAAAACTCGGGAAAAGTCGGGTTTATTTTCTATGGCAGAACTTGTTTTTTAAGAACTTATTAAAAATGTAATGTTTAGTTTAAGGTTTTTTCAGAGGTTGCGGTTTGTTTTTTCACATAACTTAAGTATCTTAATTTTGGTTGTAAAAACTTTGATTATCTGAAAAGTTTATTGATACTGCTATAAAATGGATCCAAACTCTGTGTGGTTTTGGACTACCGTCTGGGTAAAGTTGTGAAATGCAAAAATGTTGATTGTTGTGAGATTTTTTTTTCGAAATTTTGACTTTAAAAACTCGGGAAAAGTCGGGTTTATTTTCTATGGCAGAACTTGTTTTTTAAGAACTTATTAAAAATGTAATTTTTAGTTTAAGGTTTTTTCAGAGGTTGCGGTTTGTTTTTTTCACATAACTTTAGTATCTTAGACCTGGTTGTGAAGAACTTTAATTATCTGAAAATTAATTATCAAATGCAGCGTTCTCTTTCGTAGTGACCAGACGTGTTTTTGTTTTGCGCTCCGTATTTTCCTTTATGTTTTGAATAAACACCGGGTTTTATTTCGAAATAATTCTTCTATACTTATTGAATAGCTTGCCGCTTTTCTTAACTATCTTAATACGCGAGGGCATGCCTATTATTTTGTTTAAAATTAAAATCGTATTCATTTGTGCGTCGGTTAGTTGTGTGTTTGTGCTTTTTCTTGTTGTAAGTACGCCCTCACTATTAACCGCTCTCTCTTGTAGTTGCGCTTCTGTCTTTCACTCTATAGCTCGAGTAACTGTTCTCCCTCTCTCGCTCTCAATACTTTCTGTGCAGTGGCGTGCGCTCACTGTTTTAGCTGCCGCTGCGCTTGTTCTTCTCTCCTCTCTGCGCTCATCTGTTTTATTATCCCGCTTTAAACATTTCTTTAAGCAATTGGTCGGCACACTGGTCCCATTGCTATTTGTTTTGTGAAAATAATTTTTATTTATTTTATTTATTTATATAAGAATTGATCCAAACTCTGTGTGGTTTTGGCCTACCGTGAAAAGCAAAAATGTTGATTGTTGTGAGATTTTTTTGTCCAAATTTGGTTTTTAAAAACTCGGGAAAAGTCGGGTTTATTTTCTATGGCAGAACTTGTTTTTTAAGAACTAATTAAAGATGTAATTTTTATTTTAAGATTTTTTCAGACGTTGCGGTTTTTTTTTAACATAACTTAAGTATCTTAATTTTGGTTGTAAAGAACTTTGATTATCTTAAAAGTTGATTGATACTGCTATAAAATGGATCCAAACTCTGTGTGGTTTTGGCCTACCATCCGGGTAAAGCTTTGACATTATAAAATGTTGATTGTTGTGAGATTTTTTTTTTCGAAATTTTTACTTTAAAAACATTGGAAAAGTTGGGTTTATTTTCTTTGGCAGAACTTGTTTTCTAAGAACTTTTAAGGATGTAATTTTAAGTTTAAGGTTTTTCCAGAGGTTGCGGGTTGTTTTTTCACATAACTTAAGTATCTTAGATCTGGTTTTAAAGAACTTTGTTTATCTGAAAAGTTGATTGATGCTACTATGAAGTGGATCCAAACTGAATGTGGTTTTGGCCTACCGTCTGGGTAAAGCTTTGAAATGCAAAAATGTTGATTTTTGTGAGGTATTTTGTACGAAATTTTGACTTTAAAAATTCGGAAATGGTGGGGTTTATTTTCTATGGCAGAACTTTTCTTTTAAGAATTTTCAAAGTTTGTACTTTTTTGTTTAAGGTTTTTAAGAGGTGGCGGTTTGTTTTTTCACATAACTTAAGTATCTTAGATCTGGTTTCAAAAAACTTTGATTATCTGAAAAGTTGAATGATGCTGCCATAAAATGGATGCAAACTGTGTGTGGTTTTGGCCTACCGTCTCGGAAAATCTTTAAAATACAAAAATGTGGATTTTTGTGAGGTATTTTTTACGAAATTTTGACTTTAAAAATTCGGGAAATGTCGGGTTTATTTTCTATGGCAGAACTTGTTTTTTTAAGAACTTATTAAGGATGTAATTTTTAGTTTACGGTTTTTTCAGAGGTTGCGGTTTCTTTTTTCACATAACTTTTATTATCTGAAAAGTTGATTGATGCTGCTATGAAGTGGATCCAAACTGTGTGTGGTTTTGGCCTACCGTCTCGAAAAATCTTTGAAATACAAAAATGTTGATTGTTGTGAGGTTTTGTTTTTCGAAATTTTGACTTTAAAAATTCGGGAAAGTCGGGTTTATTTTCTATGGCAGAACTTTTCTTTGAATAATTTTCAAAGTTTGTACTTTTTTGTTTAAGGTTTTTCAGAGGTAGCGATTTATTTTTACAGATAGCATAAGTATATTAGATCTGGTTGCAAAAAAACTTTGATTATCTGAAAAATTGATAGATGCTGATATAAAATGGATGCAAACTGTGTGTGGTTTTGGCCTACCGTCTCGGAAAATCTTTGAAATACAAAAATGTGGATTTTTGTGAGGTATTTTTTACGAAATTTTCACTTTAAAAATTCGGGAAAAGTCGGGTTTATTTTCTATGGCATAGCTTGTTTTTTAAGAA